ATGAAATGACACGGTCTCGGTAACCGAATTGAGTGGAGTGGGTAATAGCAAGGAATCCATAGTGCGAGCTCTATTTACTAACACCGTTGAGCGAGGGATAATTCCGCTTACCGTGTGCTACAACGAGAGATAATTCCATTGTGAGCAGTAGGTGATATTGAGATCACTAAGAGAGAGTAATAGAGTAGTAGGTGATAACACGATCACCGAGAGATAGAACGCACGGACTTGCGGATACCCAAGGTATCCGGATTAAAATGGATAAAAATGTAGAAAACAGAATAGCATTGCATATCACATGCATCACCCTACTTACTAAGCTTCAGACTCATTCCGTTATTGTATTTGTGTGTTGTTCGAGCAAGGACAAAATTAAGCCGATCAAGGATGCTACCGGTTCTCGCTAAAAGAGGCCGATGTGTCACTCATAAAAATATGAATATCTTTTGTGTCATTAAAAAGGGTACGAGCCTAATTTGTAAATTTTTAGGCATTTTGAGTATTTTGTAAATTATAGAACCATCTATAATAATGTTTGTAAATCGTATCGTACGTTGTCATGGTTTAGTTATCTACGTATTTTGTTGTGTATGATGGAGGAAGTAGGAGACTTAGTCCCAACAATGTGTCGCATCGATCACGCCCGTTAGGTAATAGGCAAAGGAGCCGAGGGCGTCACAATACCAATTTGATAAGACGTTGTTGTTACTAATATATATATATATACAACTTTTGATAACCAAATTCAAAGTTCAAACTTTGATGAATACTAGCCCGATTCTTTCTAAGTCTTTTAGTTTGAGTTTTTTTTTTTTTTTTTGCTAATTACTTTCTTAATCTTGCTATTACAGATTTTTATACATTCAAGCATTGTCATTATGCTACATCTTTGGGATCCTCTTCATTTTTGTTGAAGTTTAACCATTCTTGTGACAAATTTGCTAAATAACTCATAATCTAAAGGTCAACAATACCATCATAAGAAACACCATGCAAAATATGAAATATTAATCACATATAGATAATAGAAAAAACCAACAATATATTAACATTTCATTTCTTGATTTCTAAACAGTATATTTTATCATCATAGATTATTAGGAATTTTGAGGCTACTAACACGAGTAGGACGTAAAGGATATTGTTGAAATTATTTGTCCGAAGTAGGGGTACTTTGAACGAGGCCAAGCTTAGTTTGTAGTTTGTTCAATGTTGTCTTCGGTTTAATGGCAATTTTTGCCCTCATTCTATTAAGATTTGATAATTTTGGGTCTATAATACCAAATTGTATAATTTAAACCCACAAAGTATTGAAAATTAGGCATATGTGATCCAAATTGTTCAATTTTCGTTATGTGTGACCATTACTTTAAATGCCAAAACGACGTCGTTTTGGTATCTTGCTATTAATTATTTTTTTAAAAAAATATTTTTAACCCCTTAATCTTCATTTTTAAAATTTTTTTCTTATATATATATAAGCATTTTATAAATATTTTTAACCCCATAATTTTGAACTTTTAATTTTTTTTTTATAAAATGTTGTTGCAAAAAAAAAATAATAATTAGAAATAAAAAATTTCAAGCCTTAAAAATAACATTTTATAAATTAAAACGAGCAAATTAAGAGTTGAACTCCCAAATTTTATAAATTAAAAAAATTATAAAACAAGTTCAAAGTTAACGGGGTTAAAAATATTTATAAAATTTATATATATAATATAAAATGTTTATAATATTTTATGAGAAAAAAATTTCAAGATTAGGGGGTTAAAAATATTTTTAAATATATATTTTAAAAAATTAATTAACATTGAAATGTCAAAATAACATCGTTTTAGCATTTCAAGTACTAGTCAATTGGGTTGACCGTAATGCATAACGAAGTTGGATAATTTAGATCACATTTTGCCTAATTTTCAATACTTTGAGGTTTAAATTATGCGATTTGGTACTATGAATTCAAAATTTTCAAATCACAATAGAATGAGAGACAAAATTTACCATTAACTCCGCTTTCTTCCTTATTTCTGAATTTCGATCCAATTTCAAAACTTTTGGCAGAATCCTTTGGCTCTCTAAACTGTAACTGGTATGTGCTTTTTTTAAAAAAAATAAAAATTTTAAATGACAATGCTTATTAGCACAATTGTACAATATGGATGTTGAACTTCTTGTATTAATGCATTTGATATGAATATACATTTTGATATTATTATTCTTATTATTATTTACATTTATAAATTTGTCAACGCATATATGCTAGCATGTTTTTCATTAATATTACGATACTATATGTAACATATTGTAGTCATGCTTTATGTATATATATATATATATATATAGTAGTCTAGCCACGATTGATGAGTCAAATACACCTTCTGTTCCCGTACCATATCGAAGTATTGTTGCAACCCTTCTACCTAAATATAGTTTATAACGAATCTTGTACTATTAGATGGAGGTGCAAAATAGCTCATTTGTTAATTTTTTCTATCGGATTGATCAATTTTTGTTAATTGACTAACATATGACCAATCAAGTGGCAACACATGTCAACTTAAGGATAAAAACATAATTTTCTTTTAAAACAAGTTTTTTATAAATTTTTTAAAGCTAAAATAATCAATAATTATTATAAAATCATTAAAAAATTTAAAAATTTCTAAGTACAAATTTTAAAATAATAAAAATATTTTCTTTAGACTTTAACGATTTTATAATGATTATTGATAAATAAAATTTTGAAACATATATATAAATAATATTTCAATTTTTAATTTTTTATAATAATTATAAATACAGATAATTTTTTTTAAAAAAAATTAAAGACTTTTTTTTCAATTTTATAGTAATTATTAATAAATAAAATTAAAAAAATCTAAAGAATTTTTTAATGATTATTAATTTTGTAATAAAAAAATTTTTGAAAAAATTTTTGACTATTTTTTTTCTAGTTTTTTTTTTATTTTTTTAGATTTTTTAAATTCTTTATTAATAGTTATTGTAAAATCATTTAAAAAAAATTTACATTTTATTTTTTACAAAAACAAATATTTATTAATAATTATTATAAAATCATTAAAAATTGAAAAATAATATCTTTAGATTTTTTTTACAAAAATTTCTTTAATAATAATTAATTTAGATTTGGTAATAATTAAAAAAAAATGATTATTGTAAAATTTTTCTTTAGAATTTTTTTTCAATTTTTAATGATTTTATAATTATTATTAATTATTTTAACTTAAAAAATTGATTTTAAAAGAAAATTATATTTTTATCATTAAATTGATGTATGTCACCACTTGATTGATTAGACGTTAGTCAATTAAGAAAAATTAGTTAATCTAACAGAAAAAAAAATAGTCAATCTAACAGAAAAAATTAATAAAGGGATTGTTTTGCACCAATGTCCAAAAATACAAGATTTGTTATGAATAATATTAGGTAGAGGAGTTGCAACAATATTTTCGGTGTAATACAAAGACACAAAATGTATTTGACCTCATAATTAATTAGACAGTAATGAAACTTGTCCAATCAAGTTTATCATTTCTTATACATGTTTCATTAGATAATGAGTTGGTTTTTGGAAGAATTATTCAGTATATGAAAAATTGTATTTCCTCACTTTTATATAAAAAAAAAACATAAGATCCATGAATTATTTTCATAATAAATTTCATGTTTTTATGAGAATATAGAATACAATTCTTGACATATTTAATAATTTCTCTTGTTTTCAAGCACACTATGGATCCCTGTTATCATTTTTTTTTATCCTTAAATTTTATTGTTACAAAAACTATCTAGTTTTCTGAAAAAGTTACAACACATACATAACAATCTAATAGATTGTAATTTACTGAGTGCAATAGTCGAAATAATTGATAAAACGATCTATGATGCTAATATAATATTAATATAAATGATATATCGTGCCTAGCTAGATAATACTGGTGGGTTGGTTGTACATTGCCATTTCTGCCAACAACTGAACCTTGGGCTCGTCCCTGTATTCACATACATCGTTGTAAATGAGCTCTTAAAAGTTTTAAATTGAAGAATATTAAAGCATTTTATTGCACCAGATAATTCGGAGCATTTTTTCTTCTTTAATTCTTAGGTTGTGCTTGGATTGTAGTTATTGAAGAACGGGTCATATTTCATTTTTTTATATATATATTTACAAACTGTACAATGATCTTAAATAATCTTTTGCATAGATTAAAATTAAGTCTATTATATTTTAGTTAGGTCAATGTCAAATTTTATCCAGTCTTTAGTCGATTTTAAGAACAGGAATATTTGAGTCAACAAGCAATATATGTCTAGTGCTACCAAAAAAAAAAGAAGGAATTTTATAAGAACAAGAATGAAATTTCTAACATAGTAAATCACAAACACTTTTTTACCACTTTACCTGCAAACTTTCATGGTAAAATTTAGTAGAATTTCAAAAAATTCTCATAAAATTAAATCAATCTTAATAAATAGTAAATTAAATAAAATTAGAGAAATGTGATTTGTGCTATGTTTTATTCGAATTTATTGGAGGATGTAATATATTTTTAATAGAAAAATATATGTGGAGTTTTTTTTTTCAAAGATAAGAACTCTATTGTTTAAACAAATATTTTTTTTATTTTTTTTAAACAAATAAGTAGCATTAAAACTCATTCAAATTATCTCTACTAATACAACTTTTTACATGGAATCAACTTCTTAATAATTAAAATACATATTATAAGAATTTAGTTATTAATTTGTCTTTTCTTAAATACAAATATACCTTTAATTATAACTCATGACTTAAAATCCGACTTTTATAGAAGACCCTTTGGACTCTAGACTTCCTATTTTCTACCACTGTTAAAGGAGAAAAATATAAAGACTTCCTGCCAACAAATATTTTCTATCACAGCAAAAGTTTTACATGGGCTATTATAATCTTATTTATTTGGAATAATCTGATTTGTCTCTGACAGAATGGGTAAATGCCTGTTTCTTTGCTGGTAAGAGACTGGTTTCCGAATGAAAACTTTCGGAAAAGACATTAATGTCAATGAAACTACCTATATTCACTGGTTGCACAACACTTTGTTGGTAATTATTAATTCCCTCTTTGTACAAAATACAACACTTTGTTGACATTAATGTCAAACCTATCTAGGTACTAAATAATATAAGTAAGAAAAAGAAGAAGAAGAAGAAAAGAATTGATGCATTATCTAGGTTTTTATTTTAAAGTGTATATATATATATATATATATATATATATTTATCAATATATGTATATATCTAGGTACTACTGACAGCTTTCTGCCTTTCTTGTTCTTCTTGTTCTTCTTCTTCTTCTTCTTCTCTCTCTCTAAAAACTGCTGGTAAGATCAATCAAAACCCACTCACATTGTACTGCATTGTTGTTTGATCTTCAATTCATGCATTTTTTAGGTTCGTTTGATGGATCCATGCATGATTTTGATTCTGGGTTTTGTTTTTTGTGCATTTTTGGTGGTTTTGTAGAAAAGAAAATCAAGTAAGAGCATATTGACTGGTTGGACAAGAAAGAAAATGGGGAGGCTATTTCTGATTGATCTTAAAGGAAGCTTTTATAGCTGCAAGTACTGCCGCACCCCTCTTGCTCTCAAAGAAGACCTCCTCTCTACGGTTTTTTTCCCTTTTCTCTGTTTCTTCGCCTTGTTCTTGTATGTAATATGCAAGTTTTATGGTTGATATGTTTATGCCATGTTCCTTTTTACGTTCTGCTGTGAAGTCGACTCGAAGAAAGTGTTGAAGAAGAGCATTGCTTTATATTGGGGAATCTTGGAAAAATAAATTGCCTAAATTAACAAGAACTGGAACATTGGCTTTTGTATATATTCGTTTCTTTTTCCTTGAAGTAAGAGAGACCAGCAACTATAATTTAACTTTTTTTTATCTTCCATTTTCTTGTTTTTTTTTTTTTTTTTTTTAGGGGTTACGTCTTTTGGGTTCTTGCTGTTGAATAACGTTTGAATAATAGGGAATTCTTTGTTTATTGTATATGAGAAATAAGCTGATATATCAATATGTGTCCCCTAAGATCATGTTTTGTTAATAATTATTCAGGGCCTTGACATGTAATGTGATTAATGGTTATGATTATAATCTTGCCTTTCTTCTCTTAGTTCCAAAAAATGAAAACCCCTCTTTTATTCGTTGTGTTTTCTCAGTGTTTGCATCTGATATCAAGATTGAGTAGCCACATCCAAATTGACTAACATTATTTTTATTGGATTAACCGGCAGCACCGCATACATTCTAATTCTTTGTTTTATCTGTTTTCTAGTCTTTTTACTCCGTGAATGGAAGGGCTTATCTTTTTTATGACGTGTAAGTGTTCCTGATTATGGAATCCATTAGAACTTTTAACTTTATTTATTTCTATATCGTGATATTTCGCTCTGACTGTTTGCTTTTTGGTTTGGTATCGATCAGTTGTGCATGCATTTTGATAACTCTAAGTGCTTACATTTGTGTTAAATCTTCTGCAAAGACATCTTTTTTGACTTTTATGGGAGGCCGTTTCCATTCTTGTTTGTTGTTAGATATGAGAGTTGCTTAATCTTTGTTATTGTAGCAGCCGAATTACCTTATAGCAAATTTGGTTGCTACAAAGCTTCTCATGAAGGATACGGATAAAAGATTATCCTGTTCTGTTAGTGAATTAAAGCTTGATTTATGAGAAATAATATATAACGTAGTTACCCTGTTTAAAGAAAACAAAAAATACAGTGCCCATATTTATTTCTCATACTTATATCATTTTATAAATTATATGAGTACCGTAGTTATCAATCCTATGTCTGACATTTTGCTTTCACAATGATAACAGTGTGAATGTCACTAATGGACAGAGAGAACATCGACAGATGGTAACTGGATGGAACACTGTGGTTGACATATACTGTGTTCGTTGTGGCTCACTTCTAGGTTGGGAATATGTAAGATCTGGTTTCCTTAGAATCTATGGATTGCATATTCTCAAGTTTTGTGTCAACTAATTGTTGCACCAGTTACTTCTTTTCGGCCTTTGTTTTATGCGTTACTGTTTGTTGATTGTAGGCGACTGCATATGAGAAGAGCCAGAAGGACAAGGAAAGGAATTTTGTCCTTGAGAGGTGCCTATTAATGTCTTTGGTGGTTGCATCATCAATTTCAATGTTATGACAATGAATTTTATTGTTAAGCAGGTGTAAGGTGTTGGATCCTGATGGACATCCCTATGTGCCTAATCAAGTAGTTCACAATGGTCAAGAACCTGAGATTGGCCAAGAATATGAGGATGATGAAGAACCTGAGATTGGCCAAGAAGGTTAGGTTGGTCAACTAGCTCAGGCTGGTGGAGGAATTGGTGCTGATAATACTTGATTAGTAACTGAGTTTGTAGATTGTTAGTCTTTTTAGTGTACATTCTCTCCTCCCTTTGATGATGACCGAACCTACTAACTGGCTTCTTTGTTGGAAAAAAGTGAAAAATGAACTTGAAAAGGAACAGAAATATGTAGTGCTTAATTGTGTGCAAAAAATACCCCACACTATCCTTAAGGTGATTATTGCTCCCACTATAATGCTGCAGGGATTTTAGCAATTCACCTCTAGGATGCAATTTTACACACAAGGAACTGCAGACAAGCACTCTGAAATTCCTTTAAGAGAATATCTCTTAAAGTTGTAGAGTCTTACAAGGAAAAGAATTTTTGAGAGGTGAGGAGGATTGTAGAGAATGTAATTAATTTCGTCCCGTGTAGTAGTCCCCTATTTATAGACCACCGATACCCTTTCATAACAAACATGACCGTTAATTCTAACGATCATAATCCAACAGATCATAACTATTGCATTCTAACAAACATGATCGTTAGACTCTAACGTACATAACCGTTAGACGCTAACGTACATAATCGTTAGATCCTAACGTATATAACTCGTTAGATTTTAATAGTTATAAGGTTTGAAAGTTGTTAATAACTAACTAGCGGCAACAAAAAATTAAAAACGTAATTAATTAAATAATTAGGAATTTAATTACATTAAAAAATAAAAATAAATTTCTTAATTTTAATAGTTATAAGGTTTGAAAGTTGTTAATAACTAACTAGCGGCAGCAAAAAATTAAAAACGTAATTAATTAAATAATTAGGAATTTAATTACATTAAAAAATAAAAATAAATTTCTTAATCACACACGCGCTAAGTGCTAAATGCTAAGTGCTAGTCTTTGATTATTTAAATATATATAATTCTAACCAATTAATCTAGTTTTCCCTCCAATTCCTTCAATCAAATATTTGTAAGTTTTGCTAGAGGCCCACTTTATAAGTCGCCTCTTATTTTCATTTCTTTCCAATGTGGGATAAAATCCCACTTGAAAACACTTTCAAATTTTCTTCATAGTATGCTTAACTTATTATCTAATATTCCTAAGATCTCTAACATTCTTTTGGTCAAGAAGCTCAAATTGGCTTCTTTTTTAGATGATACTAACTCGGGTTCTTAATTCGGCATCTTGGCTTTCACTCGACCTATTTCACAAATAACATTAGAACTCGACTCGTAATTGTTACCATAAGCCTTCCAAAACCCTTACAGAGCAACTCCTTTGGAAAAGTCATTTGAACCACTAAAGAAGCTCCAAAAACACCCCAAACCAGACTTCAAAAAAAAAAAAAAAAAAAAACCCTAAAAAACCTTAAAAAAATAGGCCTAAAACCAACTCTAAAACGGACCCAACACCTACCCAAAAGCCTCCAAACTCAGCCTTGAAACCGTTGCCAACGACCCTCAAAACCCTTACAGAGCAACTCCTTTGGAAAGGCTATTTTAACCACCAAAGAAGCTTCAAAAACACCATTATACCGCATTCAAACCTACCAAAATAGACACAAAATATTCCTCAAAACAGACTCTCGAACACTTTTTGGAGTTACTGCAAAAGAAGAAATAAAAATTATTTGTGATTTATCTCATTTTTTGTGATTCAATTGACTTTCTATGATTGTTTGCAATGTTACAATATATTCTTTTTTTTTTAATTGCTAAATAGTAATTGTTTATTCTAAAAAAACGAAGAAAATGATGAGTAAAAACAACTAACTTATTATATGCATAGATAATAATACATGTTATACATATTTAAATTAATTTTATGTTGATAATTAATCTAAATTAGCTATTGAATTAATTAATTAATAAACAATTATCAATTATTCTATGAAGACGATTCATTATCTATCTTATCATTTCAAATAAATGCTACATACTAGATTTTTATTTTATTATCATTTGTGTTATTTTCATGAAAAAAAATATTCATATAAATTTATTATAAGTATTTAAATATAAAAATATAATCATAGGGATATTATCATAAATATATAATAATACATTTTTTTTCTTCCTTTTTTAACAATTATCCAAACAAGAAAAATATACTTTCTTTCCTTTCATTTCTACTCTTATCCAAACAACAAGTGAAAAATAATTTTCCTTCCTCTTTTTTTTTTTCCTCCCACTTTCTTTCATCTCTTTTCTTTCCTCCCAAGAGGAAATATCCAGGAAAAGAGTCCCAACTGATCCTCGATAACATACCTATAGCCACATTGCCATGCTAATTCCAACCCCATCGAAACAGGGTAAGCTCTCTATAGCAACAGCAATACAAACCCCCCACGCATGAGTTTTGTCATCTCATCTCCTCCCCAAAGTCCCAAAAGAAAAGATGCACATATCAGTCACCACAAGCCACTTTTCAATGCAAGGGGGAAAAAAAAGGAATTCTCTCTGATACTATGGTACATAATACAAACACTGGGCAGCGAGCCCTTGTGAGACCAACCTAATATTTGACAAGTCAAAGCTACTCTAAGGACTAAAGCACTACCTCAGATGAGAGTGGGCTTCTTAGCCACAACTTTTCTAGTTAATACGGAGAATCGTAGTCAAGACATTTGCTTTCCAGCTTTGTTTGCGTTCTGTATCCACGATTAAAAGTTTGCGCACATTCCTTAAATCCTTTTACTTTACAATTGCATGGACAGCAGCAAGTAGACTCCGTGGCATTCTGATTCTTTTGAGGAGCGAATATACACAACACTAAGCATAATACATGAGCAAGCTATTTCCCGAAGCACAGGCAATGAAGTTTGTTGTCGGATGCCATGCCAGATGAAGCAGCTTGGAGCTTAAGTTACAGGAAAATTCATTGCTGTTTGAGCTGTAATTTTCATGCCCTACAGAGTCAACTGAAAGATTAGACATACATGAACCCAATACCAAACGAAAGCAAAAAGGCTTAGAAATAGAAATAGAAATAATGACAACCTTGCCGGTAAAATCCACGTGTCAGATTACTTAAGGATGACCTCCTGGGCCTTGAAGTAGAATGGAGTATTGACCTCCTGTTGTGGATATTTTCAGGAAAAAAATGATAAATTCTTTCCATACGCATATTGCTCTGGTACTCCCAGTTCCCAAGCCATCAGCAAAAGCAAGCATTTACAGGAATCAAGAAATTCTAGCATTGCAAAGATAATCACTAGAGACACTGGCATTTAACTGAAGACAATGGTTGGAACTTGGATGACTAGTTTCATGTTAAAAAAATACCATCCCATACACTAATGGTGCGTGGTATGCTAATGCAGATTAGAGAGCAATTACTCTCGGGGACTTTCATAATCAGGGAGCTTTGACAATTCAAATCCAAGAGTAGATTCATGACCATCTAGCAATGAAAAGAAGTCTATCAGTAGCAAGTAGTGGGATCCTTCATCCCCTTTTTTTTCCCTGTAATTAGTCATCTAGATCCAATTATGGCTTATTCACACAGTAATTTCCCAAAAGTCGATCTCAAAATTCTGTCCAGTATTCAGTCACTTTACTAGCATGTAACAATTTATTTCTTGAAAAATTAAGGACATGTGAGCGACAGAAAGACTACATAAGAATTTAGATTGATCAAAATGGAATGTACCAATTGTTCAAACCAAATTATCTTCTCAACTCTTTTATCACTTAATTCTATACACATTCTTTTGCATATGCAAACCAATTCTGCCCTTATAATACTGTGTATTAGTGAGGTAACATGGGCTGCTTCTTTCAGGTAACTTTGCCAAGAGTTCAAACCAACCAATTAGGACACATTTCAGCAGATTTCAAACATAAGTTCAACAGTTTATTTCAAGAACCAACCTATTTGGATTTTTGCTGGCTTCTATTGTAATCCCTTCTTCATTTCCAACGCCATGTGCAAATATACGTAAATTATTGCTAAGAAAAAACAGACAAGAGCTGTCACTAGAACTATAATGTATATGTGTTAAGTAAGGCCAAGACTTAAACATGTCACTAGAATATGAGGTCTTCGACAAACCTGTAAGATCCAGTTGCAAAACGAAGTCCATCTCCACTGATGCAGCACTCAAACTTATCGAATATGGAGTCATCATTATATAAATCATTTAACTGCAGGACACACAGCCAATCAGCTATACGTTGACATCCCAATTTTTGAAAAACATCAATGTAAAGATTTACATAGGATACTAACAATTACTATATAACCTATAGCTGGATTTAATGACAAATCACTTGTTCTTCCACTTTGAAAGTCAAGTGGACACCAACAATCTTTCCTTCAACAAGCTTCAAGAACTATAATCAATTGAAGATTATGAGAACTTCAGCATTGAGGAGCTTTCTCAAGCACTGTATTTCAGTTGGACCACTTTGTCCAATAAATTACAAGTAAGCCAAAGAAGCTCCTCTTTTTGCCTATTCCCCTGAATCTTTAAAGATAGATAATCATTTCAAAAGACTTTCACCTATCATTCTATGTTACCATACAATCTACAAGTTCATTGTTAACCTAATACAGAGAAGCCCATTCTCTTGATGCAGAATTGGCCCTTTAATCAATCATTTAATGGAAAACTAACTATTACATAAACCTGTCACATATCATTCTTATGGATAAATTATCAACCTATTTCAATATAACAAGCTGCTTTTACATCACTAACCTAAACCTGAAGAACATAAATTGGATAAATTTTCCATTTAATGACTGGAAGACCATTTAAACACAGAAGCATAACATGCATTAGTACATGCTTTTGTTTAAGAGAATAATATACATCCATATATATAGCTTTGTGTAATCTGTTTATAACAGCAGCAAGTAAAATTAATAGATCAAGGAGAGAGTGTAGAACTACTTTTCAATGTATCAAAGGCTCATAAATGTAAAGGCCATAATTTTGTCAAGATATTAATTACAGAACTAAAGAGATAAGAAGTCATGGTAATAACCATTCGACCTGCCGGAATCGAACCAGCGACCTAGAGGAATCAGCCCTCTGCTCTAGCCACTGAGCTAAGGTCGAATTTTGTGTAAAATCTTTTATGTTCTTACAATAGAAGCGAGTGGCATCATAACAATAAACAGAAAATACAATAAAAAAGGCATATTTCTTTTAAACGGGAAACCAAAAAAAGGAAAGAAAAGAAAAAGAGCTGTCCTCTATTTGAGCTCATGATAAGCAAAAAGCAGCGACACCGGTTCACTAAGCTTTTGCCAGTTAATGTAGTGATGCGCACAACAAAGGAAGCAAAATTTGTCTTCTTATAGACAAGGGTATTTCTGTAATTTCTGAAAAATCTGAAAATTTGTCTAAGTCTAGGTTTTATTTCTGTTTACTATTTTATTTTCTTAGTCCTTAAGTTGTTAGGTTTTCCTATTCCAAAATAGGAATAGTTATAGGTTTTCCTATTCCAAATAGGAATAGTTATCTTAGAGGTTTAGGAATCCTTGTCCTAATTGGATTTGGACTTCTACAACTCTATAAATATAATATGTAGTCTTTCAATATTCAGAATGCAATAATATCAAATAATTGTCAGCAATTTGCTTTTGATTGTATGACTCAATCTCTCTTAGGTGTGACTCCTAAGAACCCTAGGTGTGAAGCTTAGGTTTTCTATCCTCTAGGTGTGATTCCTAGAAACCCTATTAGTGTGACTCTAATAGTTCTATAATTCCCAGTACAAATCCACATCAATACAGACCTAAACAGCCCTAAACCTCCTCCAAGGATCAGATCCAGAACAGACCCTAGAGGAATCAGCCCTCTACTCTAGCCACTGAGCTAAGGTCGAATTTTGAGCAAAATCTTTTATGTTCTTACACTGCAAGCAAGTGATAGTATAACAATAAACAGAAAATACAATAAAAAGGCATATTTCTTTTAAACGGGAAACCAAAAAAAAAAAAAGAAAAGAAAAGAAGAAAAAAGAGTTGTCCTCTATTTGAGCTCATGATAAGCAAAAGGCAACAACACCGGTTCGCTAAGCTTTTGCCAGTTAATGTATCAGCGCACAACAAAGGAAGCAAAATTTGTGTCTTTTTGTAGACAAGGGTATTTTTGTAATTTCTGAAAAATCTAAAAATTTGTCTAAGTCTAGGTTTTATTTCTGTTTTAATATTTTATTTTCTTAGTCCTGAAGTTATTAGGTTTCCTATTCCAGAATAGGAATAGTTACAGGTTTTCCTATTCTAAATAGGAATAGTTATGTTGGAGGTTTAGGAATCCTTGTCCTAATTGGATTTGGACTTCTATAACTCTATAAATATAGTATGTAGTCTTCCAATATTCAGAATGCAATAATATCAAATAATTGTCAGCAATTTGCTTTTAATTATGTGACTCAATCTCTCTTAGGTGTAACTCCTAAGAACCCTAGGTGTAAAGCTTAGGTTTTCTATCTTCTAGGTGTGATTCCTAGAAACCCTATTAGTGTGACTAATAGTTCTATAATTCTCAGTACAAATCCACATCAATACGGACCTAAACAGCGCTAAACCTCCTCCAAAGATCAGATCTAGAACAGCCCCTAAGCTGTCCTGCATCATGTAGTTAATAATCTAGTGGAAGTTTATGAATATAAACTGTCTAGAGTGGTTAATCAGTTCCACAAACACTAAGCTCTCTAGTACGGATGCAAACACCACAGTAAAGGTAAAGAATAAAGAAAAATGATCTACATTATTGCACATAAACATACATAGAGTACCTATCTTCTTCAATAAAGGAGTTATATTGAATGTTCTTACCTTAGGGCGCAGGTGCTCATGAATCTTGAACACAGCAACTGGTGAGGAATCCATACGCATATCCCACAGCTAAAGCAAGAAATGAAAGCATCAGCTGCTACACAGAAACTGAGATATATGCACCACCATCAAATTGACATACACTTCAATGCCAGACGAGAGTTAAATATGAGTTTGTTCATCCTGATAAACTAAAACAATTAAGTAGCATTAAACTAAACTGAAAACTAAAGATTTCACGCCAAAAAATGAAAAAACTTATGTAACTCATATGTATGACATAAATTCTTCAACTAGTAAAGACACTGGGACATGCCTTTTGTTTTAAAAGAAGTATCACAACTAGAATAAAAGTCAGAAAAATAAGATGTTTTCAATGATTGCTTCCTGAATTTCCAAATGACTGTAGCTACAAAGTTAATTGCATGTTACCAATGCCTAAAGCCATGGTCAATATCACTAGTCCTTTATATGCCACCATAAACTAAGTTATGAAACATATAAGCTTTGTAATCATTGCGTCCTCCCTAATTAGTGGATGGGAGAATCAATATAAAGGAATATAACTGAATCAAATGAGTTTTAGAATTCAAAAATCTTGTGCAGAAAACCTTTAAATTCATGTAATCACGACTTAAGATGTGCTGCCCATCATAAGTGAACTTCATGTCAGAGATAGATGCAATGAGCTCCGTAAAGAAAGATTTTGATCCATGATATTCTGCATCTTGTAATCTGGATAATAAAACTCCACATGACATCACAGAATCTTTTAGAAATTTTTATCAGAAATACTAATAAACAAACTTTGGTGATGAAACAAATAAATGAAATAAACTCACATTCTTGCACTATGATCACATAATGCTGACTGACGCATGTCAACTAGACGAATAAATCCTCTTGAGCTGCTGTATGCAAGCAGATTACAATGAATTGGGTGGAACTCGGCCACTGTAATGACCTCTGAATAGAATTTTAACACTTCAATTAGGAAAGTTGACTGACAGAGATGATTGAGTCTTAAATAAAAGTAGTAGAATGGGCCTAAAATGATTTTCTTAGTTTTTTCCCTTAATAAATGAATGGGTAGTCAAGTGACAATTATATGGAATAAGTCTCACACTGCAGAGCCTAAGCAAGCAGATATCAGTGTTCTTGTTGATTGGTTGCAACCAGTGATATTAGCTAATCAGCAATGTATTTCCAGTTTAGAAAGCTTTCTAATACATCTTACAGAAATCATTATCATTTATCAACATCTAAAATTCCTTGCAAAGTCGATGTAACTTCAGGTAATATGCCAGAGAAACTTATGAGAAGAGGCCGCCAAATCAAAGGGAAAGATGGAAAATCTAAATTTCACCAGGAGAAGTCCTTGAAATCCACAAGAGGTGCTTTATATAGGCACTGTGAAACCCTAAGTCCTAATTAAAAAACAGGCAAAGGATTCTGAGGAAAAACAAGATGCCAAAATAGAAAATTTTTAAATTATGACGAATTATAAAATTAATAAAGTCAAAAATAGAATGATGAGAACTTTTCTTCACTGCTTTAGAAACGTACGCGCCTACAAGTTGACAATTTGACTGTATTACATAAATGATTCATAGAGTTACCGGTAAGATCCTCCATGTTTGATGGTTTCATGTCAATGATATTGAAACACTGATCACTGATCTCAAGGTTCCATAAGTTTATCCGAAGGTCATCTGAGGAAATAAATGTCTCACCATCACTGTACAGAGATCATGAACATCATAAATGAAGCAGAAAAACTGTGCGTTATGAAGAATCTAGAAGGTATTATATCACATATTGTATACAAGACAAAGATGCCCTTCATAAATTTTACCTATTATTTGAGATGGAGTTGATATTAAAATCATGAGCATGAGCATACACCTTCCGACAATTTGCATGAGTGGTTTCTTCAGCATGAGTGATCTAATTTACAACAAACTAGTAAACAATCCCACAACCTTGGCAAACTCATGCAGTGAATGAAAAACAATATCATGAAGAATCTGGGATATTTTACTATGGGCCACATACACATACCTTGGTTTGCACTTCTTGAGATAGCGATTTGTCCTTAACTATCCCCTCTGCCCAGTCCAGATGATAACCATTTGTGATAAGTGGTTTGTCTAGCCCACTCATGAAATTCCCTTCACCCAAAAGATCATTTTCTGAGCACACAACTGAATTATGCTCCATTTCTCTTACCTTTTTCACCTTTTTTTCCTTAACCTAGACTCAAGAATCAAACAAGTTAACTGTAAGCCTCATCAAGATACCGTATCAGTGTGTCAAAGCATATAAAAATGAAAAGAGAACATAGGATTCCATTTATAGTGATCACCATTCAATATTTTGAGCAAATCAAAGAGGTAAAATACAGTTTCATTTTAATGGTTCAGCAACACAAATCTAATTGCTATAACCTCTTTTCTTTAAGAATTATGCAATGTCATACAACCCATTGCAAAGCAATCAAGAAGACAAGAAAATGAAAGCTCAGCTGCAAATCCATCTCCTATCTCTCAGCCTGCACAAACTAAGAATGAAATGTTGAATGATAAATAAACCAACCAATTATATTGTGTATGCAAGAATCTAAGTCTTTAGGACCATCTAAGGACCTCTTTGGAAAAAAGACAAGGTAATCCAAAGACTGCATCATATTGCAAAATGAATGATTTGTGCAAAAATTCGGGGTAACTAGGCCATTGAATTGGTGCAAGCATAAAATGCCAATGATCATTAGCAGCTAACTTACTGCCAGAAATCTTAGTAGTTCCCCAAACATGCCCATATATGACCAACAAAATGGTTTCCAAATAACTGTCTCCAAACTTTACCCTAAGAAAATCAATATCCCATCACTTATTAAGGAGGAGACAAACAGCGAAAATGCATCCAAATATACAAAGAAAAGGGTCAACCAAAAATTCTACAACGGGGGATAGTGCAGATCCCAATAGTCCACCAGGCCTTTAGACAAGCACATTGGTTAGGCATCACCCATCTTCTCCTACTCGGGAATCGTCATGTAAAATCTACCAACATAAACACATAAAGAAAGTGACTTCAGAAGTGTGAGACCTTGAAGAACAGATGCTCTTCCATTGTCTGACAAAGATGAGAAATAATCAAGATCATGAAAATCATCTTCCTCCGTCATGTTTCATCAACCCTCAAGCTTAAAGCATCAGGTTCATAGAAATCCAAACAAGAACAGAGGACCCAATCTTTAAGGTTCCTCTAAAACGACAAAATCCTCACATTTCTAGTGAAAGAAAAGTTTACCCAGCTAACAAGTTGAGACATTTCTCTGCAACAGACAATTACATATCCTTCCTCCTCTCAGTGAAAGAATTTTTTTTCTAAATCTCTTCGATCTTGGATTCAACTGAAAAATTGCTGGTATATTCCAAATTTTCCTTGACTTAGCAGCTATAGTCAACTTTCCTCATACTTTGGTTGGTCACCATCAGATCTCCAATACAAAGGGACTGATACCATAGATGAACCAAAAGAACTTGACTAATGACAACTTTCATCAAAGAAAATTATATGCTGAAGAAACAAAAACTTTCCACCACAAATTGCATATGCACCATGTGACACCTGCAAAAATCCAGCACCACATGCCTCCATAATAACCAGTCAATTCCTTGCAAAATTTTTTCTTCGTATAGTCATGTTGTGTCAAAACCAAGCAGTTTCATAGTCCTTCATTTTCCCTCAATTTCAAGCCTCGCAAACTTCTAACTGAAAATACCCCCACCATCATATTTTTTGCTACATCATTATGACAAAAAAATATCTAGCAAGTGACCAAACAACCATCACTGATCACACATGCAGCAGCAATCCAGTATCAATTTCAACAGCTACATCACCAACCACAGAAAACTTATGCGACTCCAGGTGGTAAATTCTTTCAATGGTAATATTGAACAATCACTTGAACTATTCTTGGCGTAAGATTCACTACTAGAGATCACACTTTTAATCATGAAGAAGAAGAGAGAATTCATACCTTCCACAATTTAATTGTCTTATCATTCGCTGAGAGGATAAACAGCGATCCATTGGAAGTTGAACACCATTTTACTCTATTAATCTTCTCCTCAATTTCCATACTCTTCAAGTAATCAAACTAAAGAAAGAAGAGACACTATCACCATTAATAACAAACTAAAAGGAGCAAAAATGCACGCAACACATAATCTAAAAAGAGGCTCACAATACATCTAAATCATATATGTGATACCTCGGGTTCATGACTCTGAAACTCTGTCTTGTACTGATATTCAGGATGTGCTGTAAAGGTGGAATCCAACCGCTCCAGCTCGTTTCGATAAAGGTGTGTATTCGTAGTCTAAGAAGCCAATAATTAAGGGTAAAAAGATGATCAAACCAATTTTTAGCCAAACTGCCATCCTAAACAAAAAGAAAGATAACAAGCCAAAATGAATCCAAAATCATCTAGCTAGTTTTACTGAACACACATATTTTTTTTTACTAAGAATTTTCTGAAAAATTCTCACGTGTTTGCCATGTTTTGCTTCGAAAATTACAACACGACCACCTCGATCTCCAACACCTATGTAATCACCGCTCTTCTCAAATCCAATGGAACATACAACATCAACTGCAAGACAAGTCAATAAGAAAACCTAAATTAACCGCTGGACAGAATAGAATAGAAACATCAAAACCAGTAAATGGCTAAGTGCTAACCATCTTGAAGGTCTTCACAGGGAGATGTTTCACCGAAGACTTGAGAGAACTTCCAGTCCAGTGGAGGAAGAGGAGAGCAAAAGGAGTCTCTAGAGCTAGAACTCATGCTTTTCTTACTCTGCTAAAAGCTGCTGCTGAAAATTTCTCCTTTTTTTAAAGGAATTTTGGTTGGAACGAACAGCGAACAATAGATTCTGATTCTGTTATGCTTGCTGACCTCAGCTTTCTTTTCCATTATCCTTTCGAATTTCCAGGAATTATGCTTTGTTTTTTTTTTAATTTTTTTTTCTTGAAGAAATTTGGTTTTTATGGTGGACTTTATGCGTTGGGTCCATTGAATATAAGGCTTTTCGGGTCTTCTTATTCACCTTGCCGGTAATAATGGCAATAACTTGTTCATCAAACAATATAATTCAGGCATATTAAAAAATTAATAATTATTATGTTCATAAAATGTTTTTTAGATTTGTAATAGTTTTAGGCCCGCGTTACGCTGCGGTTTGATATGATTGAATGGATTTGCAATCACTATTATTTAATGATTTTAAAATAAAAATCTGTAATTTATTTTATTTAATATTGATGGAAAGTTTATTTTTTAAAAAGTATATACATTTAGCTTTACTAATTCTCTATCGTAATTTTAACTCATTTTATGACAATGACTTTGAAGATATAGTGTTATTGGTGAAGTAGAAGTAGAAGCATTGCTAAGAAATGGGAAATTTTTAATATTTAAGTAATTTATAATTTGTTATATAATATTACATGCTGAGAAAGAGAAAATAGTAGTTTGTGACTTGTGTTTATGATTAACAGTTTTGTTTCATTGAAAGTTGAAATAGAAAATATTTATTCAATAATTATAGTTGATACATTTACATGTAATAAATGAGATAAATTTGAAATGATTTTATTTATATCATGAGTTTAAGATTATATGAGTGATTAATTAATTTGAATATAATGTTGTTAATTAAAAGTTTTCCAAGGAAAAAAAATGGGCCGAACGCTTGTTGATATATATAACCATCAATGAATTAACAGAGGAATGGATGACACTAATCTTGCTGCTACACCACCTTCAGTCAGTTTATGTAAAAGTTCACAAATTCTCAGGCACTATGTTTCTCGAGTCACATGTGGAAACTCAGTTAGGAAGACAAAATTGACCTCCAGGACAGGCTGGTGCCACGCCTTAGGTGGGTTCAATCCAGTAAAGTGTTTGAAAAAAAAAAAAAGAGCAAGCCGGAAAAACTTTTTTTCGGGCTGGACTGGCTTGAGATTAGCCCAGTCCAGCCACGCACGGGCTAGGTTTGGCCCAGTAATACATTTTATTTTAGCTGGGAGGAAGACCACAAACAGGAAGTAAACCGCTCTTTTATTTTTTTTGGGTCAAGCTTTCTTTCTTTCCATTTTTCTTCTTTCTCTCACGCGATCTTTGTTGCTCTTCTTTTTCTTCTTCTTCTTCGTCTCTCTGCCCAGTCGTTGTCTGTGGTTCGCTCTTTTTCTCGCTTTTTGTTCTTGTGTTGTTGTTCTTTCTCTCTCTACGCGATCTCACTCTGGTTTGTTTTAGGTGCTTTTCTTCTAATATTGAAAGCTCTTTATTTTGGGGGTGTGTATGATACCTGGGCTTTGGGGGGCAGGGGGAGATGTAAGAAAAATTAGCAACTTGACCCTTAGGTCGAACTCAATTTTTTTAGAAGTCGTTAATTTGACTATTGTTGAAAAATTCTAGAAATGGCAGGTTTGAAAGTAGTTCGATTGAGAACCAAGTATGTTTAATTAGCTTGTGTTTATATATTTGTGAAATTGTTGGTTTCCCACTGAATTGACAGAATAGGGTGGAAAGCAATTGATAGCAAACTCTGGCAAGAATCAGGATAGAGACTATACTGAATTCTTTGAAATGTGAACTTTCCAAATAGTTTAAGCAGACATAAAAGTGCATCTCTTTTCGTTTATCAAAGGGTGGAAAATTTTGGTTCGTCATTGGGATCAATAGGCTTTTTTGGGGGAATTGCAAGTTAGTGTAAGGTGTATTAATATTAGGATAATAGTTAGTTTTATTCAGGAACAGTAATGTACATAGCTGGAAGGCATATTTTATTTTATAGTTATGAATGTCTTTGATCCATACATGATATTTTACAGTTGGTTGTTGGCATTTAATGTAACAGTGGAGGTGGTGCTTAAATTGTTGGCTCCTCGGTGTCTACATCGAAGACATGTGTTGCAAGCAAGTGATAGGTTGGGAAAGAGCTGTATAAAGGATTGTGGCGAACACAAAAATTTTTTGGGAGGTTAATTGCATCGACCATGAGTTGTGGAATTGAGTATCTATCATTGTGATTGTGGTTGTATTGGATGACCAGGTAGTTGGATGAGCAGTTGAAATATTCAGAAGCTGGTTTCTCAGGCAGCACAATTGTAGTTATGGCATTGGTGTCTGCAACTCCGCAGGTAACATGATATCTGTGGAAATAGGTAAGAAAAACTTGTTGTAAGATTACTGTATATTTATTTTGAAAATATTTTAATACATATACTAAGATGAAACTTTTTTTAACCTGGTAACTGGAGTTTCTTCTAATATCCCATGAATTGAGCAGGAATAACCATCTATTGATTGTGTAATAGATTTGTGACAACGTGGACATGCCTAGAACCACCAACCATGATTTGTATCTATATCGATTATTTGACCTTGGAAAGTATAGTAAACTTTCTATAAAAGAAAGACTGTTAAGATATGTGTGGATAATGTAATGAAAGAAATAGCAAAAATTTAAATAAAATGATATGAGAAACTAATGTTGTGCAGTTTATGCTATCTAACTTCTGTTGTTTGTATTGGAGGTTGGAGCAAGTGTTGTATTGTTGTCCTATTTTCATGTTGGATAAAGTTTTTTTCCATTGATAATTCCTGTGCAACAAAATTTTTTGTGATATTTGTAATGAATGGAAATGAAAAGAGAAGTTAATGTATATATGAATATAATAAGAAGATGAAGGAAAGTTTTTATCACCATCGATTGTTTGTTGAAGATTTGTAGGGATGGTAATGCAATTTATACAGAGTATGATGTGTTACTAAATATCATTGACATCTATGATATCCATATATAGATAGGTGCTATTTATATAATCAAATAACCAATTGATTTATGCCAAAAACAATGGTATTCAAAAGCTTCTCATCCAAAAACTTTGGAATCAGCTCAGAAAGATGGTTCTATAGAATGGAGAACAAAATTGAAATTAGTATTGACAATTGAATAATCAAAAACCCATAGCACTATTGAGGAAAAAAAAACGATTTTGTAGGATCTCATCATCTGAGATTGACATTAACAATGTGCCAAAATGTTTTGCCAAAATTCGAATAACGGAATCAATTATCAGGAGAAACATGGTAAAAAAAATAGGAAAAAATTAAAATAAAAACAAAAAATGATATGCATTGTGTTAGCTTTTGGAAATGGAAAAGATGGTGTGGCAGCTACAGCAGCAGACTGTGTGATGATGAATTAGGGAATCGTTTGATCTTTATCTCTATTGAAAGGATATTCTTAAGCAACCATAGAGTGACCCCTACAGCCGGTCTAAGGAGCAAATAATTGTCTTGGTCTGGCCTGAACCTTTAATATGCAAAAAGCAAGCGCTAAGTCAGTACTGTTGACTACGACGGTCTCGGCTGGATTTGCTTAGACTTAATTTTTTAGGCTTGCTTAGACTTAATTTGTTTACCCTTTTCAGTATATAACTATCTAAAATTCAAGGAGATACATCAGTACCTTTTTTTTCTTATGAGTTAGTTATTTAGTTTGACATTAATTTCTTAGTAATTTTTATCCATTTTTTTAAGTCCGTAGAGAATCATTTATTATAGCTAGGGAAGGTTCATTGTACTGTGCCCAAAGATGCATCCTCATAGGGCACTGCATCATCTTTATATGATTACATTAATCTCTTGATTTCCTCAATTTGTTTTTATTTCTGTTTCTTAAGCTAAATGTTTATACCGACTCACCGGCCAACCCACCCAATGGTTATCACACCCCACCATTTTGTGGGATTTTTGGTTCATCAGTTATGAGTGGAAACGTTATTAAACAATCTTTAGCAGTAGGTGTCCTATCTACAACATATATTTTTTGATAGAAAAACAAAGACATTAACTATATGTGGTAAGACTTGTGAGTACTATACTTATGCTATAAGATAGCAAGTAGAATATCTCAAACTTATTTATATGGTGATACCAAAATAAACACTTAGATGATTAATGTTAAAACATATCACTAGACTTTACTCGCTATGAGAATCCATTTGGTTTAATCTATGGGAATCTCATACAAGATGAGTACAACTGATCCTTTGACTTGAAGTCATCATGGTTATCTCATTAGAGGATTTATGTACTTTGACACTCGTTTTGATGGGCTTAGTTAAGAGCTGCATGTGGTTGATTCATTGGGTGTACTAGGAATATAATGAAGATAAATGGATGACTAGGATAGGATATGTCATTCCTTATATGCTAAAAGAGTTATCATACCGTATTTAGATAAATATTTACTCAAGAAATATATGGCCATAGTAAGAGTACATCAATAGAACATAGTTGGTTTACTCTAGAGCTACGACATTTAGGAATCGAAGAAAACTTATGTAATCATAATCGAATGAACTTATAACCAAGTTTGAGATCACACCGTGATAAATTGACATAAAGACTTAATTATATGATAACCATGCTCGTGAAAGGTAATTGTGGATTAATTAATCCTCCTAGAGAATTGAGTAATTATGATGCCTTACAAGAAACCAATCTTGATTTATGTATCAAGAGATCAAAGAGGTATCTTTTATTCTTGATACATTATCAATATATCTAGGAGCCTATTGAGGTAGATGCATAAGTTTACACATTCACATAATAAAAGAGAAGCAAAGATTTTAAAAAAGGTTTCCAAGTTTTGTTAGTTTCCTATTTTGGAAAAAGTTTCCTAAAATGAAAAGTTTTCTATTTTAGAAATTAGTTTCCTAATTTGGAAGTCGGTTCCAAAATTAGAAATAAGTTACTTAAAAAGAAAATTAGTTTCTTAATTTAGGTTTAAGGGTAATTTGGAAAATTGTTTCCTAACATGGGCCTCCTAAAAATATCTAACCCAATTTATTTGGATAGTCCAAATTAATTAGGTCAAAAGTGTTGGGTCAATAAGTTTAATTTAAAAGCATGAAAGATATTTTAGTGGAAGGATAAACTTGACCATTATTGGATAAGGATCATAATTTATAATGATAAGATCAAAAAAGTCCACATGCATTATAACTCCTAATCATTGGAGGATTGAGAAGAAACAACCTAGAGTCTTTTATGAGCTTTTTTCCACCACTTCCCTATCCTCGGAGGACAAAAAAGCCATCCCCTAATATATATAAGAAAGAGGTACGACAAAGAGAGGGTAAGCAAAAAGAGACACATGACAAAAAGGAAATAAACAAAGAAAATAGTTTTGTTTCCCTAAAATCATGCCAACTCTCTCTCTTTCTCTTAGGTTTGCTATAAAATATCTTCAAAAAAGATCTATAAATAGAAAAATTAAACAAGTTAGAAAAATGTGGAACGAGCACTTTATAACTTCGATTGCTTCTCGTGTGGGTACTTGGACCGTGTGGATTATCGATAGATGTTGGACACATGGACAACTATTTTCTACAAAGGTTAAATCTACACTATAAGAGGTAGTCCTTACTCACATTTTAATTCATGTATGTATGAGTAGTTGGTTCAATGACTTAATCTCGAGAGTTTTAGATGGAGGAAAATTTTTTATTTTATTCCGCACCTCCATAGGATGCATGATCCTTCATTAAACTTAACTCGAAATAAAAATAAAATGATAGGATAAAAAAAATAAATGAGGATATGACTTAAGGAGATGTATAAGGATACAGTTTAAAGAGGTGCGTATGGACACGACTTAAAAAATGCACGAGGACATGAATTGAAAAGGTGCATAAAGACATACCTTAAAAAGGGATGTACAAGAATGTGCCTAAGAGGTATGTATTAGGATGTAGCTAAAAAGGATGCATTAGGAAGTGGCTAAAAGGGATGTGCTAGGACGCGACTAACCCTCTCGTTTGGATAGGGTGGAAAGTGGGGAGAGAAAAGAAAATAGGGAGGAAATGAAAAGTTTCCTTCGTTTGGTTTGCGTAAGAAAGCTAGGGAAAGAAAAAAAAATGTTAAACAAAGCTAAAAGTGGTGGGACCCATTTTCCTCCCAAAATTGGGAGGAAATGGAGAGAAAAACGGAAGGAAACCGATTTGTCTCATTTTTCTTTCGGCTCGCCTCAGCGTGCGTTCCTTCTCTTCCTCTTCCTCGCACTCTCTTGCTCTCGCTTACCAACGACCCCATCATCAAACTTCGCAAACCCCATCTTCCATTTTCGCCCTTGCTTGCCATTTCCCCGCCGTTGCTCAACCGATCTCGCCTCCGCCTCTACAAACCCACTCCTCGCTCTCGCTCGAATCCGTTACCAAAACTTCTCCGAAATTGAGAAGTTAATGGTCCAACTGGTTTGAAAAGCTTTTTTGAATAAAATATTTGACTATTTCACCATTTCTATGTGCTACTTTGACGTGTTGAATTTCAAATGGAGAATCAAACAAAATGTTATCACAATGGAGGAGCAATTATTGATTATTTAATAAAATGTGATTCACACGTCATCTACGCTTATGGTGGCCACCAAATATTGTCAGTATTCCATGAAAAAGGCCCAAAAATATCACCGCGTAAGGGGACGTGGTTGGGTACAAGGCATATGCGTAAATTACAAATTAGTCTTTTTAGTTGTGAAAACAAAATTAATTAATTTTCTTTTAAAAAACTAATTAATTTTGTCTATTTTATGTTTCTTTTTCTAATTTAATTGATTTTTATTTTAAAAATAAATATTGTGAAAAAAATATAAGAAAAGAAACATATTAAAAATAAATAATATTAAATTAAACATGATCTAATATCAATTGATAAATTAAATTATTAGTTAAAAAACACTAATTAATTTATAACTTACTTGTGGGCACATAAATCCAACACGAAAAGCTTTCAAGTTGTAATATCTTTGTCTTCCACCTAATGATCCTTCGGGTCTGAGTAACCAACTTAGCTTTACCTCCGTCCTCACAAACTTTCATAAAATAAGTGCCACAATTTGACCTAGTTTGTCTTCTTCTTCTTCTTGGTTTTTATTTTTTTTCTCTATCGATTTTTATTTATATATTTTAATCTTTTACTACTCTTAAGTACCTAAATGGTACGTATTATGTATATATGTTAAAAGTAATTTAGTAAATTGAGTCGAAGATCAAAGATTTGTCTCATTTTTTGTGATTCAATTGACTTTTCATGATTGTTCGCAATGTTACAAAGATACTCTTTTTTTTAATTGCTAAATAGTAATTTTTTATTCTAAAAAAAAAAAAAGCTAAGCAAATGATAGGTTAAAGCAACTAACTTATTATATGCATAGATAATAATACATGTTATATGTATTTAAATTAATTTTATGATGATAATTAATCTAAATTGGCTATTGAATTAATTAATTAATAAACAGCTATTGATTATTCTATGTAGATGATTCATTATCCATCTTATCATTTCAGATAGATGCTACATGCTATATTTTTATTTTATTATCATTTGTGTTATTTTCATGAAAAAAATATTCATACAAATTTATTATAAGTATTTAAATATAGAAATATAAGCATAGGGGTATTATAGTAAATATATAATAATACATTTTCTTTCCTTCCTCTTTTTACAATTATCCAAACAAGAAAAATATACTTTCTTTCCTTTTATTTCTACTCTTATCTAAATAACAAGTGAAAAATAGTTTTCTTTCCTCTCTCTTTCTTTTCTCTCACTTTCTTTCCTCTCTTTTCTTTCCTCCCAAGAGGAAATATCCAAACAAGGGGTAAAGGAATACACTAGGACATGACTAAAAATGATGCATTAGGAGGTAGCTAAAAAAGATGCACTAGGACGTGAGTTAAATGAATGTGCTAGGACTCGACTTAAAAGGAAGCACTAGGATGCAACTAAAAAGGATGCGCTAAGACATGATTAAAGGGATGCACTAGGACGTGGCTTAAAAGGGATGCACTAAGATTTAGCTAAAAGGGATGCGCTAAGAGGTGGTTGAAGGGATGCACTAGAACGGTGCTAAAAAGGATATGCTAGCATGCGGTTTATAGGGATATGCTAGGATGCGGTCATACCCTAGGATATAGCTAAAGGGATGCATTAGAAAATAGTTAAAATGATGCATTCTAAAAGGATATAACTAAAAGAGATGTGCTAGGACGTGGCTTAAGGGATGTGTTAAGACATGACTTAAAAAAAAGTGGTAGGATGTGGCTAAAAAGGATGTACTAGGATGCATCTTAAAAATTATGCTAGGACACAACTAAAGAGATGTGCTAGGATATGGCTAAAAGAATGTGCTAGGACACAGCTTTAAAAGGATGTGCTAAGATGCGGTTAAGATTGATGTATGGCAATATGGCTTAAAGAAGGCATATGATAATACGATTTAAAGAGATGCATGACAACATGACTTAAAGGGAATATATGATGACACTACTTAAAGAGATGTATGGTAATATGGCTTAAAAAGGATGCATGATGACAAGACCTAAAGAGATAAATGACAACATGGCTTAAAGGAGATGCATGATGACATAATTTCAAGAGATGCATGGTAAAATGACTTAAAAGGAATGCACGATGACGTGACTTAAAGAGATATATGGAAACATGGTTTAAAGGAGATACATGATAAAACAAACTTAAAAAGATGCATGACAATATGGCTTAAAAAAGGATGCATGATGACATGACTTAAAGATATACATGGCAACATGGTTTAAAGGAGAAGGATGATGACACAACTTACAAGTGGTGCATGTCAACGTAGCTTAAAGAAGATGCATATAATTAGGAGGTTATCAACAACTTCATTCATACAAATAGAAAGCCTCTTTCGACTTTAATTCACATCATTAGGTAGTAGGAGGCCACCTAGGTGACTTCATCCATATAATTAAAATGTTACTATCGATTTTGATTCATATTATTTGGAAACCACCGGTGACTATATCCATTTAAATAGGAAGTCACCGTTGATTTTAATTTGCATCATTAAGAAGCCACTAATGATTCATCCACACAAGTGGGAAGTCGTCATTAATTTTAATTCATATCATTAAAAGGTAATCAATGACTTCATCTATATAAATAGAAAGTTCGCCATCGATTTTAGTTCACACCATTAGGAAGCTACCAATGACTTCATCCATATAAGTGAAAAACTACTAATGGCTTTGATTCACACAATTGGAAAGCCACCGATGACTTTGTCTACACAAGTAGGAAGTTGCCTTCAACTTTGATTCACACCATTAGGAAGCCACCAATGACTTCATCCATACAAGTAAGAAGCTACAATCGACTTCAACCCACAAAAGTAATTTTTTCATATACATACTTCATGATTTTAAAGTGAAAATCATACCATCAAAGTATCATAATCATCATATTAAATCAATCATAACATCCAAAGCAAGCACAAAATGTTCAAATGTACACATTAGGGCCAATACTTGCCCCAAATAAACCAATAAAATTATAGTCCATGCTTAACCTTTCTAGCTCCATCGCAAAGCATTAAACACCGATCTTATTTCTCCTCAAGAATGCATACGGTCTTTAATCCTTTTCGGTTTGATAAATAATGATGTGTATTACACCCTTTAATATCTATATTTTTAATCATATAACACTTGTTTATTTTATTTTCATCTATATGTAACTTACTTAATTATTATTTTCGCCTCAATGCATAAATTCAATCTTAATACATTTCAATTTATCAATCATCATGACATAAGGATAGAAAAGGTCCACACCGACAATAATATAAATGATCCTTTAACTAAGCCTTTGTCACAGTTGAAACATGAGACTTTTACTTGATCATCGGGATTAAGAGACATGGTTGGTTGGCTCTAGTGGAAGTGGGAGATTATTAGTATAGGTGTCTAAGATCCAACCATATTTGTATAGATTTGAGTTATTGTATTATTGCATCATTTGTTTTTTTAATAATAAAAAAGTCTTTCTATTAATTTTTATGTTTTATGTTTATTAATTCAGTAAATTAAATAAAAATCTTTATGATATGCATTTGCAATAGTGATTGATCGAAAGATGTGAGACAAACACTAATACACATTAATAATATCATTAAATATCCCAAGTCATAGCATTGTCAAGAATGAATATTGACTAGATATGATTAAACTTGTGAGTGTTATGCTCATACTATATGACATCACCGGACTTGAATCACCATGAAAACCCATTCGGTTTAGTCTATGAAAATCTCATACGAGATGAGTACAACTAGTCTTTAGACTTGAAGTCATCACGGTTATCTTATTAGAGGATTTGTGTACTTTGACACTTATTTTGATGGACTTAGTAAAGGGTTACACATGATTAATTCATTAGGTACACTAGAAATCTAATAGAGGTAGGTGGATGATTAATATAGGACATGTTATTCCTTGTATGCTAAAGGAGTTATCACATTGCACTTCGATGAATGTCTCGCTTAAGAAATCTATGGTCATAGTAGAGGTACACCAATATAGCATAGTTGGTTTACTCTAAGAGATAAAACATTTGGAAATCGAAGAAAACTTATGTGATCATAATTGAACGAGACTAATAACCAAGTTCGAGATCACACCGTGATAAGTTGATATGAGAACCGAATTGTATGGCAACCATACTAAAGAAATGTAATTACGGATTGATTAATCTTTTTAGAGAATCGGGTAGTCATGATATCTTACTAGAGGCCAATCTTAACTTATGTATCAAGAGATAAAAGAGGTATCTTTTATTCTTGATGTATTGTCAACATATCTAAAAGCCTATTGAGTCACACGCATAAGTTTAAGCATTCACATGATTAAAGAGAAGCAAAGATGTTGAAAAAAGTTTTCAATTATGAAAGTTTCCTATTTTGGAAAAAAGTTTTTGAAAATGAAAAAAAAATTAAAATGGAAAGTTTTCTATTTTTGAAACCAATTTTCTAATTTGGAAGTAAATAACCTAAAATGAAAATAAGTTTCGTAATTTAGGTTTAACGATATTTTGAAAAATTATTTCTAATATGGGCCACCTAAAATTATCTAACTTAATTTATTTGGATAGTCAAAATTAATTAATTAGGCCAAAATAATTTTGGGCTAATAAGTTTAATTAAAAGCCTAAAAGATATTTTGGTGGAAGGAAAAAAATGAACCTAATTGGATAAGGATGAATGTTTTATAGATAATAATCAAAAGCCCATATATTAAATAACTTCTTAATCCTTACTCCTACTCCTTAGAGGATTAGGAAGCAACAACCAAGAGTCCAATAAGAACTAGTTGTCGCCTCCTTTCATTGTCCTTGGAGGATAAGGAAACTCTTATCCTATAAATAGAAGGAGAGGTGCGGCAATAACAAGCAAAAAAGAGAAAAAGAGAGATAAAGTTCAACACATATAAAATAATAGAGACACTCAGCTCAAAATAAAAGCTAAAAGAAAATTGTTTTCTCCCTAACCCACTTTTCTTCTCTCTATCTCTTTGGGTTGTTACAAAATTACCTTAATTAGATTTCTATAAGAAACACTAAACAAGTTAGAAAATATGGAGTTAGCACTCTACTAATTTTGAGTGCTTCTTTTATGGGTGCTTGGATTGCACGGATTATCAATAAAGGCCGAGCAGCTTGGACGACTCTTTTCCGTAAAGGTTTATATTTATGCTACAAGAGGTAAATTCTCTATTCATCGCTTTAATTCATGAATATATAGTTAGTTAATTCAAATGTATGATATTAGGCCCTTTAGATTGAGGAAATTTTACTTTATTCTACACCTTCATAGGATGCATGATCCTTTAAAATCAACAATTTAGTTACATAAAAGTGCATTTCTTTAGATTCATATCCATCTTATTTTTCAACAACATAGCAAGTACATCACGTAAATGCTCAATATACTCATCCTCGGATCGACTATAAATTAATATGTCATCAAATATATTACTATAGATTTCCTAATGAAAGGTTTAAGTAGCTAATTCATTATTTGCATGAAAGTACTTAATGCATTTATCAATCCGAATGGCATGAGAAGCCATTCATACAACCTCTCTTTCATTTTAAAAGTTGTCTTCCATTCGTCACCGGGCTTAATGTGAATTTGATGGTAATCACTATGTAAGTCAAGTTTGCTGAGACACCGTTACTCCATGTAATCGGTCAAGCATGTCATCTAACCTACGGATAGAAAATTTGTAACCCATAATGATTTTATTAATAGCCCTACTATCTACCCATATTCTCCAACTTCCATCCCTCTCGGGTGTTAATAATATGAGTATTGCACACGAGCTCGTACTCTCTTACATATGCCCCTTGCATAACAATTCCTCCACTTTCTCTTTCAATATCTCGTTTTCTTTAAGACTCATCCTATAATGAGGCGGATTGGGTAGAATTTTCCCGGGAATCAAATCAATATGATGTTGAATGTCCCTCATAGTTGGCAACTCATTTGGTAAGTCATTTGACATTACTTTACTAAACTCCTCTAATACGACCCTCACGGACTTAGGATGTTCAATCATCTTTTTCTTTCCTCTCGCTTACCATAAGAACTAGCTTCAGAATTTAAGCACGAGCCTTCTATGATTCTTTAATTTCAGCGAGTAATCTTGTATCTAGATTGAGTAACGATGAAGAAAGTATGCCCTTCTACTTGTTTTAAACGTTTACACTTCAAAGGCGAGTAATGTAGACTTCGACCTCTTTTCTCAAGCTTGTATGTATTTTCTCTCCCGAATGTTGTGCATCAAAATCATACCGCAAAGGTCTTCCAAACAACACATGACAAACATCCATATCTATAATATCATAGAATATTTCATCCCTATTTTTGCTAATGAAAAAAGGTACCTTGTACTATTTTATAATGTGGATCTTTTTCTATTATTTTGATCCATCCAATGGTATAAGGATTTAGGTGTTTCTCCACTATTAACTATAAACTATTAACTATTTCTCTACTAATTATGTTCTCACAGACTCCCACTATTGATAATAATGTAAAAAAACATTATCGTAGAAAAGCGCCCTACGTGAGAGAAAGTAGAGAGATGCTCTCCTCCTCCAATGGAGATCTTCCCTCCGATTGTTTTCCATCGTCCCAACCTTCTCTTCCCCCACTATTTCCGTTCATCTTCTTCTTCCCTCTCGTTTCTCTCTCCTCGCTAACCTCCTTTTCCTTCTCCATTTTCCCTCTCCCCACCTATTGTCTCCTCGGTTCTTTTTCCCTCTCGGCCATGGCCGAAGAAGAAGAAAACACCCTCAAGCCGAAGACCGCACCACACCGAACAGAACCGGTCCTCGCTCCGGTTGCTCCGTCCACCGGCTCCAAATTCGTCCCATTTTCGGTCGGCCCTCCCCGGCGGGTCCAAAGCAGCAGCCTCTCGGACCCTACTAGTCGTCGGCTGCTATGGAAGAGGTTTTCGAGTGACGAAGCTTCAAGCTCCGATGAAGAGGGGTCGGATTCGATGAGGAAGGCGACTCGAAAATTCAGCTAAAAATTTAGTTTTCCCCCTTAAAAAGTTGAGTGACAATTTGGCTTCCCACCAAAAAATTTAAGTCGTCGAAAATTTCAGTTTAGGTGAAAATTTGGTTTCCAACTCGACCATTTCAACTGCTGAAAATTCAAGCTCGGGAGGCAATTTTGTTTCCTGCTAGAAGTTTCCGACCTCTCGCCTTCCGCCCAAACTTTGGTCGGCTCCCTCTCGCCCTCCTCCTCTCCTCCAGCCTCCTTCTCCCCAACATTGCGAGCTCGTTTCGGCTCATGTTCCAGCAGAGGGCTTGAGGCGTTTGAGCCTACTTCGTCGGACTCCATCGAGCCTTCGATCACCGATGCCCCCACCCTCCTCCCCTAGCCGCTCCAACCGTAATGCCGCCCTATGCCCGAAACTCACTCATTATAGTGCTATAACTCAAAGTAAAACTTACACTTTGCTTGCCGCCGATTCGCAATACAAAATGTGAAAGTCTTATCGGATTGGTTATGTTGTTGGTAAGTCTCCGAGCTATAGGGCTCTTTTCGGAATTATCGAGAACACATGGCAATATCGAGCTTCGTTATCGATTCATGACTCCGGTTGGCTTATGTATAAGTTTGCCTTCGAAGAAGCTAAATTATCGCTTCGAATGGGGGCCTTTATCCGATTTTCGACAAGCCCTTATTGCTACGACCTATGCTCGAATTCTTTGATTTTTCCTCACCAAAATGGCTCGAGTGCCGGTTTGGGTGAAGTCGTCGAATCCGCCTCTTAACTCGTTGGTCCTCTTTATGTCTCTTAAAAGTGGCTAGCTTTGTTGGGCAAGCCTATCCGAGTGTGACCGGTTAACCGCCTCCATGGAACGGATCTCCTTTGCTAGGGTTTTGGTTGAAGTCAACATCATGGAGGAGCTTTCGAAATTTTTAAGTATTGGGTCGCCGAATGGCTCTTCTCTTCATCGGCAAGTGGTATATGAAACGGTCCCGACGCATTGCAAGCACTCGTCGAATTCGAGGCACTTTACGGCTTCTTGCAAGAAGGATGCTCGAGTGGCCGCCCGAGTCGAGCGTTGGCCATACGGAGAATCCGAGCCTAGCCGATTCTCGGAGGCCCGCTATCGGGGAAGGCTTGGCGGTGCTTACTAGCCTTGCGGGCGCTCCTTCGGAGGTTGTTCCTTTTGATCCTATGGTTTCGGAGGTCGGGGCTGCGACAAGCGAATGGATATTAGTTTTTGGTCGGGCCGAAGCCGCGCTCGCTCGAATCGGCGGCGCCGGTCTCGGCGAGCTTCGCCTCTCGGTTAGGGCGAGCAATCGGATGAGTGAGTTCGGGAATCTCATCTAACCCCTTCGGTTCGGACAAACAAGGGTAAAACGCTTACGGTAGCTCCTTTGCGGGTAGAGCCGGCGGATTCCGTGGTTGGCGCGAGCGCACGGCCCGATAACCGCGGGGTACGGGACGGGCGTAGCGGCTAGGGGGTCGACCTCCGGCGCGAGCATGGGCTCGGTGACCCGCAGCCGTTAGTAATGGCTATAGGCACAAAGGATGGGCCTCCGTGGGTCGGCGCTAAGCGCGGCCCGTTCTTGCGGCGCCGACGCACAACCCGATCTTGTCGGCACTCGGTGCTAGACGCAACGTGCGATGGGACGACCTCCGGTGAATTATTGGTTTACAAGACTGCGAACAGGTAGATGTGGAGATAAGCACAACCGATGGGCTTTTATTGGATATGGTTAGTGCCGGCTTGCTAGACCTCCCGCGAGTTGAAGGGTCTCGAGCACAAGCCCCGTGCTACTCGGGCATCGCAAGACGAAGAAGACGAAGCCGAGTGCTAGGGGGCCCGCCCTCCGCAATGGCTGTATGATTGTTCTCGGTTAGAATGTTAAGGGCCTTAATTATCCCCTAAAACAACATGAGGTTGCCGGCATCATGCGTCCGAAGAAGTTAGATGTTTGCGCTTTAGTCGAAATCAAGCTCGACCGACTAAGCTAGCTCGCTTTCATTGGTTTCGGCTTAAGCGGTGGAAGCTTGCCTCTAATGCCTCCGAGTCCTTTAAAGCTCGCATTGTCCTTTTTGGAATCCGGATACGGTCTCGGTTGAGCTCTTGGATCTTTCTCCTCGAGGGCCGCATGTTCATATTCGCAGCTTTGTTCATCGGTCGCAATTTCATGCCACCTTTGTCTATGGCCTTCATACGATCTCTAGTCGTCGGGAGCTCGGGTGGATCTTCGATCCTGGAATCCTCCTAATCGGTGGCTCGTTCTTGGCGACTTCAATTTTACCCTTTCTTCGGAAGACAAGCATAACGGTGTGATGGGGTCCAATTATGAGTTTTCGGATTTCCGCTCTTGTTGTTTGGATTTGGGTTTGCGGGACCTAACGTACACGGGCAATCAATTCACTTGGAACAACGGCAATGTTTGGACCAAGATTGACGAGTTCTTGTCAACCCTCTCTAATCCGTTTCCTCTCTGCCTACTTCGGTCCATTTCGGTCCGCCTAGGGCTTTCTCCGACCATGCTCAAGCTTGGGTTCGGATTGATAATCGACCTCTTGTCGACCGAAAGCCATTCAAATTTTTCAACATGTGGGCTCTCCATGACGACTTCCTCCCGCTTGTTGATCGTCACTAGGCCCATGGTATACATGGCATCCCGATGTTCTCTCTTTACCGCAAGCTTAAGATCGTGAAGCGACCTCGGCGTGAGCTCAATAAGCTTCACTTCGGCCATATTTCTAAGTGCGTGGCTCGAGCGCAAGATGATCTTGAGCGTATTCAGCGAGCCTTACGGTCCGACGGAGATAATGGCGACCTTCTCGAGCAGGACAAGCGGCATAGGCCGGCCTTGGTCAATCTCAAGTCAGCAGAGAAAATGTTTTATGGTTAGAAGCTCAAATGCAAGTTCCTTAAAGAGAGTGATAGGAGCGATCGATTCTTCCACTCCCTCATGAACCAAAATCACAAGAAGAAATTTATTGCCGCTATCACGGATGATGAGGGTCATCTCACGACTTTGCTTTCCGCCGTATGTGACATTTTTGTTGGGTATTATCGGAGGCTTCTTGGTACTACTCGAGCTATCACTCCCCTTGATGTCGGGGTTGTTTCTCGCGGGTCTTACCTTGATTTCGACTCTCATGCGCTTCTCCTTGTGCCCGTTATCGATGACTTAATCCGTGAGACTTTATTTGGTATCGGCAACAATAAAGCCCCGAGTCCGGATGGTTTCTCATCTCTTTTTTTCAAGAAAGCTTGGGACATAGTGGGGGCCAATTTTTGTGCTGCCATAAAAGATTTTTTCTCCTTCGGTCACCGCTTAAACAGAGTTAACCACTCGGTTATTGCGCTCATTCCGAAATCGACACATGCCTCATCTCTTTTGGATTTTTGGTCAATTTCTTGTCGTAATGTGATTTACAAGGTCATCTCGAAAATTCTCTCTTCCAGGTTAACGTGTGCTTTGGTCGACATCATCGGTCCCATGCAAAACGATTTCTTAGGTAGACGAAAAATGTCGGATAACATCCACCTTCTCCAAGAATTGCTCCGACACTATGGTCGTAAGAGTGCATCGCCTCGGTGTCTTTTGAAGGTGGACTTCAAGAAGGCTTTTGATTCGTGTAATGGTCCTTTCTCCGTAATCTTCTTTTGTCGCTTGGCTTCCCGAGTACTTTTGTCCACTTAATTATGGCTTGTGTGGAATCACCGTCCTACTCGGTTTTGGTGAATAGTTGCTTGTTTGGTTTTTTTCACGGCAAGGGTGGGATTCGGCAAGGAGACCCGCTCTCCCCTTACCTCTTTATAGTGTGCATGGAATACTTCTCTCGCATGCTCTTGTCCGCCTCATATGGCGCCGGTTTTCGTTTTTACCCGCAAGTGTGACGTTCATCAAATCGGTCACATTGCGTTTGCGGATGATGTTATGCTCCTTTGTCAAGTCGACGAGGATTCGGTCCGAGTGCTTGACGCAGCGGATTCAAATGTTTGGCGGCGTCTCGGGTCCGACCATAAATTCGGCCAAGTCCTCAATTTACTTTGGTGGCATAGGAAGTTCTCTAAAGCGGGTTATCCTTCAAGATACGGGGTTTTTCGAAGGCTCTTTCCCCTTTCATTACCTCGGTGTCCCTCTTAGTCCTCACCGTCTCTTAGCTAGCCAATTCTCCCCTCTTTTGTAGAGCTTAGAGTCCGCGGTACAATCTTGGATGGGGAAAAATTTATCTTACGCTGGCCGACTTGAGCTATTGCGCTCGGTGTTAGCGAGGATTATTCACTTATGGCTAGCGATTTTCCATATTTCAGCGGTGGTTCTCTCCCACATAACTAGTATCCGTCGTAACTTCCCGTGGACCGGGGACTACAAGAGGGGTCACTTAGCCTTGGTGGCTCGGTCTCGGGTTTATCGACCGAAAAGAAAGAGGGCATGGCGCTATGGCATCCGCCTACTCTCAACCAATGTTACCTTGCGCGTCGGTTGTGGGACATTCACCGTAAGACGGACTCTATTTGGATCCGTTGGGTTCATCACTATTATCTTAGAGATCGATCAATGTGGCAATGTCAAACGCGTCAATCCGCCTCTCCCACTCGGAAGGCGCCGCTCTCCACACGCGACAAGTCGCTTGGAAAATTCGAGGTTAGCGCTCGGGTTGAGGCGCGCTTCGATGCTCGAGGCCTCGCCAAGTTTATTCGTAATGCCTACCAAGACCTTCGCTCGGTAGGCAATCCGGTTAATTGGCACGAGTTATCTAGGAGCAATGGGCCTTGCCACGACATGCTTTTGTTCTATGGTTGACCGTTCGAGGGAAGCTCAAAACTATAGATCGGCTTCGATTTATTCTAGAGGATGTCCGTTGTGTCCTCCGTCGGTCCGCTTCGGAATCTCACTCTCACCTATTCTTTGAGTGTCCCCGGACCGCTTGCCTCTAGGCGCTAGTTAGGAACCGGCCGCTAATTCGTTAACGTATGACTTCACTACCTAGCGCCATTCCGGGCCTCTCTCTCCGACGGAATAACTTTAAAGCCCGTATGTGTCGGCTTTCTTTAGGGATCATTGTTTATCTTATTTGGGAAGAGTGGAACAAGCGATGTTTCGATGCCGCTCACTCTCCAACCCCAGTTGATCGTGCTTTCCGCAGATTTCAAGTTCCGTTCTTCATGATTTTTCACTTTCATGAGAAGGATCACGGTCTCCTTAATGTTGGCCGACCATTCCCTCTATACTCGCCTCGGCCCGACTTGGATTGTCTCCGCGACCTGCTTGTTTGGTTTAGCGTTTTTGTCATCGCTTTTTGGTTTTATCGGCGATTGTTTTTGTAAGCTATAGAGCCTTTGTAAATGGTTCCAGTTAACTAGCTTAGGGCCTCCGTCCGGTTGTTCCCGGAATCTCTCTTGTTTGATTCGTCGTTCAACCGTCTAGCTCCAGCTCTTTTGCTTTGTGTTTTTGGGAGCCTATTCCCGCCTTTTATACATTTACATATGCTTCTCTGGCTGGTTTTTCCAGCTTGTTTCACTTTGATTAATATACTTACATTTTAATTAAAAAAAAACACTATTATTGATAGTGCACCTAGTTTCAAATAGTTAGTGGTGCTGATTATTCCCTTCTTGCTTCTATGTTAACATCATGTGTCTCACCACTTGGTTTTGTACACCTTCATCCTCATACCCGTACTCTTCACCACCCTCCTTATCCGGTTCATAGAATACTTTATCTTCCTCCTCCTCATCCTTATCCCTAATGTTTATGACTCTTTCACCGAGGATAAATATTAGAATGATAACCCGATTGATTACACTTATAAGAGTTTCCGATCATTGGCCTTTCATATGGATTGGCGAGGCTTTTGTGGTTCTCTCCCTCTTAACACCTTTTGTTTTCCTACGACCTTCTCCTTATTGAACTTATCCCCGAGTGGTATTTACATCATTCTAATCTTATCATTCTTTTCAGCTCATGATCGACTTGATTCTTTTCCCCAATTCCTCCTCCCGGATGAATCAAATTGAACTCGTTTCTCTTGTGTCATTAGCTTTGCTTTCAATGCCAAGTTCTTCACCTTTGACAAAGTCCACAATACTTTTACTCCGATCTTGTCCTTAACTACTAGCTTCAATCCATCAAGATATCTTGTTACCTATTAACCTTCAATCTTCCTTAAATCATTACATTCAGCCAATCTTATAAATTTTGAGGTATACTCATGAAATATTTTCTGTCTTTGATTGCATTGTTGGTACTTTTGGAAAAGAATATGCTTATAATCAAGGGGAAGAAACTCCTGTCGTAGCAACTATCTCATACTATCCCATGTTTTGATAGGTGCCCTTCCTTCATGTTACCTACGAGCTTGTAATCTCTCCCACCACGCAAAAGCTCAACTCGTCAATCTACAAGCAAGCAACCATATCCTCTTTCTCTCTAAGATATCCATATAATCGAAGAACCAATCGACCTATGCAAGTCAATGTAAGAATTCCTTAATATCCATTCCCCCTTTAAAAGGGAAATATTAGGTTTCAATTTAAATTCATTAGTATGGTAATCCGAATGCCCATATCCGAGCATTGTGACCATAATCCCTCCCATAACCTCTTCTACCATGGTCGGGAAATTTAGATGGTTCACCCAATACGAATTTATCTTCTTTTGAATAATCATTGTAATCATGAATTCCATGTAAATTATCAGCAATTGGTTATCCATTAGCTTTTCCGTCTCTACAAGTTCGTCTATCATCATTCCAATTCCCGTTTGCGCCTATGCCTAGATCGTTGAGATGACATAGAATCTCGATCAAAATGCCTTTCCATACGTTGGAATCGAAGATCCATCCC